CCCTGGCCGTGCGCACGCCGGGCCCCTCGACGCCGGCTGCAGAGCGGAGGCGCTTCCTTCGAAAACGCCCCCGTGCCCGCGATGCGCGAAGCTGTGACTTACCGCAGCTCTCTGGCTCGCGCGCAGGGCAGAGAAAACCGGTGTGCGCCGGCCGAGCTCCAGGTGGAGCGCCGCGAGCTGAGCGGACCTCTTCCAAGGAACGTGGGCCCCGCTTCCCGCGACCCTGCCTTCGAAGTGGCAAGCGGGTGTGTGCTGCTGGTCATCGCCAGTTGCGGAGGTGGTGCTGGAGCGTCTAGTCCCGGTGTGAGCACAGGCCGGGGAGACGGGCCTGGCCGCCCCCGTTTGTAAGTCACTGGGACGTGCGGGCGTCAGCAGTGGGGCCTCACTCATCTAAACCAACTCCGGCCTTTCAGCAGTAACACGATCCCGCTTCCAGCCGAACTGGGGGAAAAAACGAAGACGCAAAATCGTGCAAACATCTCAGGAGCGGACTCACAGTTCCCACGGGCTGGCCTACTGTAATACAGATCATTTGCACAAGTCTTGGACTGTTGGGTTGGAAATGGGGACGGGCACGTGCTGTGGCATACAGTTCGGGCATCCCTAACCCAAAAGGCCCGAAGTGTCAGACTGTGAAGTTCTTCGGCTTTTGGACTGTTTGCCCGGACTACCAGCGCTTTCATCTACCACGCCGGTACTCAAAAGTTCTGAATACTACAACACTGCAGATTTCGTATTTTGGGTTAGGAATAATCAGTCTGTGTGGCTTTTTCAGTATTAGGGATTGGACACGAACACATTGCACTGAGCTACGTCCCAACCTCCATTTTTTGAGAAGTGCTTGCCAAGTCGCTAAGTTGTCCAGGCTGTGCTCAAACTTGCAATCCTCCTGTCTCAGCCTCAACTTTTAAACGTTTCTTTGAAACACACTATCTGCCCCCTTAAGTTCATTATTTGTATGAAGAAAGGTAGGGATATATCTATTGATATATGTATTAATGCTGTGATAAAGTGTTATTAAAAAGTAAGGAGTTTTTACCATTCCATATTTGATTTTTAAGAAGTTCTATTCAATAGACACTATCTTCTTTCTACTACTAGGGTATTTTACATTTAGCAATCATACTAATAAAAGAAAAAATATATATTTAATTAGAAAGTGAACTGTTCAGCTTATAGCTCTGCAATATATGACTTGATTAATAACATGGAGTTTGTCAGTTATCCCTAAATATATAAATTATAAAAATAAAATGACATAAATTTATAGCAAAATGACATACTGGCACATAAAGTTGTATGTACTGTCAGGGTATTATGTGATTAAACATAAACATTGTGATAAATTTTGATTTCTATGTTAGACATGGACATATCTTAAATGGTTAGGAAGCACGAATTTACAAAGCAGATTTTCATACTACAGTCCAGTGGTGTGGAGGACCACTTTAAAGTGTCTTTCATACATACTACTCTTACACGCCTCAGCCATTTCAAGCTGACGTCCTTATAGCTGTTCACGTCATCATTGGCGTCCTTACATCTGTTCACGTCATTTATTGCTTATTTTTTAAGTCACTAGTCCGAGCACAGCACAGATATGATTGCCCTTAACCACAATCTGAAGAGATGGGTGTTGTGTATCCCCTCCATGAGGACATTTAGGCTTATCAAAATTAAACTACTTGTGTTCCAGTTCATATTAGTAAGAAGTATCAGACAAGGTCTTCCAACTCTGACTTCAGACTATGCAGTCGTTACCACTAGGCTCACTGCCTTAGTGTGTGGTGTGAAAGGAATGGAGCCAAGCCAAACCATCCCACAAGAGCTCGTGTGCAACCACCACCGTCAGCCAACACCCTGGCGTCTCGGTGAGCCCTCAGCAGTCCCCAGGGACGGGCCGCGCTGGCATTACTCACTTGAAAGTGGGAGGAGACAACTCCGGCAAGACTGTCTGGTCAGTTCATCCAACAGCCTGTGAGATGGACATTTTTTTCCTCGTCTTAGGCTTTGCTCCCTCTCATAACCCTACTGCTTCTGCACAGCTCAATGAATTCTTTCCAGCATAACTTCTACTTTTCTATCCTTCTCATCATGTTATACATAGCTACCTAACACTAGTCATGCTATAGGAATAAATGCCCAAAGCTAAACAATTCAGTCATGCAAGCTTTGTAAGCTTACAAACTATGTCTCAGTGTTATACTTGGATCAATGATGTCAAAGATGGTAGTGAAATCATACAATACCAGTGAAGGTTAATAGTGTTTTCCAACATTTCCATTTTCTTACCGATTACTTGCACTGATGCCTCGTCCATGCTGTTACCTCTTAGGCATCTCTGTCACTCTTCTGGTGTTACCTTGCTCTGTTAAAAGCCTCTTGCATCCTCCAGTAGCCACTGAAATAGTATGCTTGAGTGCAACAATAATGTTTTTCTGACATCAGAGAAACTGTTTCATTTTGAACAATCGCTGTTCTAATGACAAGTGTGTCAAACCAACATGTTGGACCCAGGAACTGGACCAGCTACGATCGTAAGTCCCTGGAATTATCAGTGCCTTACTCCTATAAACTGATTGCCATGAAAATGCGAAGTACATTCCAAAAAATTTCCAACTGAAACGCTCCCTCTTCAGCTGTCTCAAGCTTGTCCACGGTGTCACAGAAGTGAGAACTGATTCCACCATGGTCAGCCCAGATCACATTCTCTTTCGTTTTATTAGCATGTTTGCCAACAGCGGACGCGTTCACTGCAGGCGCTGGCACACGCGGCCTTGTTCTCACCACTTGTGATCCTTCACCCTTGCACCCCATCCACCAGTATGCCTCTAAGTCTGCTTTGCTTCTTTTTGGGTGCTGTCCCTTCATCTTCACCATGTAACTATGGCTTCATTTCTGTTCTCTGGAATTTAAACAGTACTTCTTTTTGTGCCAGAGCAATATGAAGTAGAGCCACGTGTTGAAATTTTTACTTCACACTTTTGAAAAGTGTATGCTTTCCTCATTGAATGTGAACGTTCTCACCATTTGTGAGTTTCTTCCTACCCAGTTTTAAAAAATAATTGCAGGAAATAAACAGGAAATATTCACAAATGTCCACCTAAGGACTTCCGTAAGAGTAGCTTCTTGTTTGTACAGAAGAAACACAAGAGGCTCATGCCATGAATCGCCTAACAGAAGAAAAGTTCAACCAACCCTCCCAGTAATAAAAATGTCTGCACTTCCACAGCAGAATGTGTCCTACTGGAATACAACTTTCAAGAATTAACGATACAGAAGAGATGGGGCCCATTTGTTCACCTGGTAACACTTTATTATGGGAGATTTTACATGTGCAAAGCAAAGCAGGTACCAAAATGTGGTTTTAAAATGTTTGGGGCTGTTTGCCTCTGAGACCTTCAGACTTTCCACATATACAGATATGGTAGAAGTTATGAATAAAAAAGAACACATGTCAATCACTAACATGCAGTAAGAAGTGAACAGAAAGATTATTATAAATTATGAAATATATAGCATGGAATTTTTCTTGAATGTGAGGGTTGAAAGACTGGAGCCTTGAAATTATTTGCAAGGGAAATTTCCGAAAAGGAATAAAGCACTCCTCTTCAACTCAGAAGAGATAGACTAAGCCTGACTCTGAGGCATGGGGGTGGAGCTGACGGGTAACTGGAGTTTCTTCTATGGCCCACTGATCTAGATGATAGTAGTGAAACATGCATTAGTGAAGATCTTTAATACTGCCAGAGGTACTAAACAAACGTGGACAGAAATTAAATAATACATATAGATGTTCTTTAAATATATTTTTAAAATGTTTTTAATAAAATGATAGACATGACTAGTTCATTCACTTGATAGTCATTTATTAAAGACACTGATAAACTTTACATTTACAGACTTAAAAACTGTTAAACTTATACCTTTCCTGTATGCCAAATAAAAGTTTTATTAGAGTATAGAGTGCTGTTTCATGGGAATATAGATGAACACAGGTTTTAAACAAGGTATTTTTCCATGAATATACACAAAAACATATACAAATATGCCACATGATACAGAGAAACAAGACTCATTCATGATCTTCGCATTTACAGGAATTTATAAAATCTTCTCTGAAGGAAATGTGTTACAATTCAAACTTCTCTCCTTGAAAGTAATCCGCAAAATTCAGATATTCTTGAAGTTGATCATATTTCTGCACATACAATAGAAAAGCTTGTTATTTTACTCAGAGCAGTGAAGCTTGACTTTCTCAACCTACACCCATAAACAGGAATAAGTTCTTTTCATGGTAACTGTGAGCAAAAATTATTTTATCATAAATAGGAACTCAATTTTAAATAAGTATTTCAAACTCAAAAAAGCATTAGAAAGAAACAGTATTATTAATTCTGCAACTGTCTTATAATTTACAATTTTCCTATTATACTTAGAGTAAAAATGTAGTGACTTCAATAACTTATTCAAGAAAATTTGAGAAACAAATATTAAATACTCCACTAGTATCTGCTTAGGTTCAGAAATTTTAAAAGGTCGCTTTTTTCCTGTCCCTAAGGAGAATAACGCTCAGCAGTGCCCCACCAATGACAATCAGCAGTAGGTCCACAGAGAAGTACAGACAGTGTAATGAGGGTTCAGAGGACAAGTCCTGCATGGTTGGCTGAGGTGACCATATTTAGCAGAAAAAAGGTTTACGGGCAAAAGTTTTCTGTAAGAGCTAAGTGTTCATTCAACAGTGACGTGACAAGAAAATATGGGATTTTCTGTAGTGTGAAGGTTTTTGAGAGAGACAGAATGAATATGAACAAATTGAATCGGAGAGATTGAGATCAAGCAAGAAAGGTACAAATGGTAGCGTAAGGAGTCAGGAAATGACCTGACAGGAAATGGGGCGCTGCTGAGGGTTCGGGAGCGGGGGACTGACCTGATCTGAAGAAAACTGGCAGAAGAGCCACTCTAGAGAGTTCTGGCAAGTATTTCTTAATATGTGGTAAGCATCTACGCCACAAGGGCCCACATGGGAGTGCTACAAGGTGGAGGATAAAGAACAAGGTAGAAAAGAGAGGAGTCAAGGAAGAGGGTAGACTAGCAGTAGGGCAATTACGTCAGAGGCCTATTCGGGAGTGGAAAAATGTGTCCTGTTTTGCACCCGTCAAGTTCAAAGTGGTAACTTCAGCCGAGGAGATTCAGTGATGTAAAGGTTTCTGCACTGTTTTCACATTCTGGGGGCCTACCCCAGTGATACGCGAGAGAAGATCTTGGTAACTTTGACTTTTGCGGTGATACAGACCTGCCTAAGGAACACGAGAAAGGCACTTTCCTTCCAGTCAGGGCCAGGAAACCCTTTTTCATGTTACACTCTAAGAGGTCTGCTGGCCTCACCTTCTTAGGAAAGAAGGAAGAAAAGAACAAGAGTGGAGATAACCTGTGGACTACTTAGGGTTTTCTTGGTCAAGTACTTAGGTTTCATCAGATACTAGTAAGTATTTTAGGATTAGAAACCTATAAAGACTTGGTTGTTTTTGTATTATTTTGCTCTGTTATTTCTAAAACTTGTTTCAGAAAGTTAAAACTATCTCAGTTATGCTTAAAAAAGGAAGTTAAATCTCTCCTTGCTTTTAGGACAAACAACAGCAAACATTAATCACTTTTAATTGCTAGGTCCTACACCAAGTATTTAAAATGTGTTCCCATTTACTCTCCACAACCAAATCCCTAATTTTTAGCATTTAGTTCCTATTTTACAAATGAGCAAACTTGGGCTTAGACCAGCAACTCGCCTCTGAATTCTGCTGGTGAGTGGCAGAGCAAATA